TCTAGTTTTCAAATTACCTTGTATATGGTACATGCAATACCCATGATGTGCCTCTGTTAAAATTTTAGCGATACCGTTTATTAAAGACTGTCCCCGATCGGTTACAAAGGCAAGGTCTTTAACTTCCCCGATCACTTTCCTCAGTTTCGAAAAGAACCAACGCATGGACAGATCAATTTCGCTGTCGCCTATGCCGAATGCAATAAGGTAAATTTGGATGTTGGCGGCTTGACATGTAGCAATAATTAATTTGCCTTGATATTTAGCTTTCAGAGTTGTACCATCAACTAGAATTACGGGTCGCATTGCATTTTGAAAACCCCGAATACATTGTCTGAGAGCCATGAAAAAATACTTAAAATAATTATCGCTCCCCGTCTTAATAAAAAATATCGTGCCAGGATTAGTTCTCCCCATGTTATGGCAATACCTGGCCAATTTAGCATAGCTCTCCTCAACCGATCCCATTAAATCCTCCAACGTACATTCTTTGGCCTTACAGGCTTTCTGGTAGCTCATGACCACTCCATACTCTTGAACGGACGTCGTTAATGATGTCCGAAGGTCTGTAGATCGTCCGTGGGTCCTGATACTTGTGCATTATCTGTCGACCAATAAACCATGCTCGAGCTTACCTGTGATCGTTTCGAAGAATTCCCACTTCGCAAGTATGTTCCCGTGAATACTTGCGAATTACGAAGCACTCATTCGTGTCCATCTTAGTTGCTCTCAAACGCCAATTGCAACTGCCTTCGACGCAGGCAACTATCAACAATGACTTATTTGATTTCTTTACCTTGAACTCAAAGTTAAATTTTAATGCCAGCCGATGCACGACTTCCTGCAAATCTTTCTTGGTTTCAAACAGTTGCTCGACATACAAGTCCTCATAATCGGGAGCCACACAGAAAGAATTGGAGGACGGTCCACTTGTCTCAACCTGTGAGTTCCCACCCGGCTCATGTCTCTGTTGGGATAAAGCAATCAAATTCTCATTTGTAAACTCGTTTATATTCTCATTGTCTTAAACCGTCGACGAAATTCTGCGCATAACAATGACATCACAATCAGAAGCAACTGTCTCAAGAATAACCACATAATTCACAGGAACTATCTCCACTGTCTCCCAAAAACCTCGATCATTGTTATCCGCCCTATCTGAATCTTCGCGTTCACCTTCGATAATATCCTTCGTTATTAAAGTCACACCAAGAACAGTCGGAGTCCGATTCATTTTATTCAATTTTAATAGATAATTCAATTCAGCATTATTAGTAACGAATACTGGTCGCATCGGAATGGATGAATCCCCATAATCGTTGAATAGATATCTCAATTGCATATCGTATTGAGATTGATCGACATTCAGCTTATTTTGCAAATCGTGGTACATTTCTAAGTATGGTGTACTCTCTGTTATGGGAATTGCAATACAACCACGTATGTCACTCGTCCATCTCCATTCCTACCGATTATTTTCATTCAATTCGAAATCACCGAAATAACAGACGGGGATTATCATATCTGCATGAGGAAATAGATTTAATCAACTTCATTTATTAATTATAAGAAAAAATAATGCATTGCCAACAAAAATCAGTGCCAACAGTCGGCTGTCAACAGACAGTCGACTGTTTGGCTGTTTAACAGCCAAACAGCCGACTGCTTTTCTGTTTTCCGCATTACGTAGAAGAAAATAATTATAGATCTGTTCAAATTTTTTTTTCATACGTAAGATCCGCTAAAAAAATTAATACTAACTATTATTATGTCGAAATAAAATTTCTCTATTCAAACGTATACTAATTTATTGAAAAAGAAATTAAACATGCGTAAATATACTTACTGATTTGAAGAAATTGATATGAAAAAAAATTTCGGCTTCAGCGTTTGAACATTTTTTGAGATGTTGAGGTTTAAGCAGATGAAAGATGAGAATATTTTCTGTCTTGGAAGCTCGTTTTGAAGTTTTATAAGTGGGGAATTGTTTAGTTTTCAATTATTAACTAAAAGGGTAGTAAAATCTTTTCAACAATACATTATTTTGTAATTGTATAATATATTTAAGGACATCCTTGTCTTTAAACATTCAAGAGGCCAATGTGATAATATTCATGATTTTCAAAATCAAAGCAAAATTTCCTTCTTTTCATTGGGTCAAACTTAAAAGTACCCGCCAATACCGATCCATATTGACGCGAGCCCATCACTTTGAGCCAAGTCTTGGCCCAAATCAGCCTAGAATTTTCATCAGTGTCAACTATTGGCCCCAAACCTTATTAGGGTTTAGAGAGCTGACTTTATAGCAGAAGCTCTTCGAGCATAATTTCTTTGAAGCAATCAAAGATGGACAAGAGCATGCTTGGAGACTTGGATTCTCTGCCCGAGGAAGATAAGCTACGGATGTCCTCTATGATTGACCAGCTCCAAATCCGTGACAGGTATACCCGTGCCGTACGTATACCTGTGTGTATAATTATTCGTCTTTACATTTAATTTGATAGAATCTTTAGAAATGGAGAACAAAATGTTCAGTAGAATTGAGTGATTTATATATACATATCCGTACTTACGTATGTGTGCCCCATTTTATTTTCGCATTATATATATATGAATTGAAGCATTGTAGCTGTTTTAGAACTTTATATCAAAACTAGGGTGCTCCTAAAAATCGAAGCTTTAAGAAAAAGCTGAAATTTTTTTTAACAGGATTCAGTGATCTGTGAGTATTGGATTGCCGCAGTTGAATGTCCAACGTCTGGTTGGGTTTAGAATTTGCTATTTCTTGCGTTTTTTTATTTATTTCTTAAAGCATGTTTGGGAAACGTTTATAAACATTTTAACTTATGAATAGATAGAAATTAGTGTTGGATAAGTGGGTAGTATTTGTGAGTCATTTGAAATGTGTGTGGATACAAAGGGGCTTGATTGTTTATAAATAATTTATAAACATGAGCCAAACATAAGTTTAGCGTATCGTATTGGTCTTATCATAAGTAGAATTTTTATTAGATTGTGTTAACTAGATATGCTGATATCGGGTTCATTGAATTCCATTATCGTCTTAGGCTTCAAGGATCTTATTCTGACTCATATTCCTATGTAATTCTAACGTTCTTTGGATTCAATCCTCCTGATTGTATTATAGAATTGTAGTTTGAATTGCTTTGTAGTCAATCACGTTCCAATCACATGGACTTGTTATCTAACTGACCAGTAAATTTTGATTTGATATGCTTACGAACATTTGTGAGATGTCAAAGAGACTATCATATATGTTACATGGACTTTGGGACGAGCTTCAGGATGAATTATGCATCCAAACATCGGAAGAAGAAAATCTTAAGAGGGGATGAATTAGGGTGCTGTATGGGGATGGTGTTTTTCCTTTTCGTTTTAATTTTATATTTTTTTTCTCATTTGAACATGAGGTGAAAAATTGTCTTTTCATTCAATTTAACTGATGGTGTGTACAGAAACTGTTCAGAAAGAGCTCTTTTGGTACGAAAACTTGAGTATTAGGTAATGACAAAAGGGGTTGGGACCTAAGTACCAATGATCCTAAACATTGGCAGCCTAATGTGCAATTTTCCTATTAGCTTGAGATCTGGTAGTAAAAAAAGATATTCAGAATTGTTAACTAACTCGGCGAGGTGCATTTGTAACTGCAGCTTATCATTGATTCTTAAATATCTTTTGCTACTTATTAGCTAGTTACTTTGATTTGGACATTATTAATCACAATCGTTGCTTCAATATAATATTCAAACTTGAGCTAAAAACATTAGTTTGTGGTTCAATGAACTGAAGTTGAGTGTGCATCTTCTGTTGGTCATGTTTGGTTTTTCTATCAAATTTGTGGCATCTTTTAACCACTGGCTCTGCTAGAATATTTAAATTTTCCTTCACAACTCATTCTTGTTGGTTTCTGTCATTAATATAGTTAGCTCTATGACCTTTAGCTTGATTTAGAGTAGGCACCATGTAGTGGAAGAAATATTAGAACAGTTCTCACCGTCTGTTGTTCACAAAATTTAGTGAAAAGACTGAGATTAAGCCCTATGATGCTCGGACTCGGGTACGGGTATCGGGTACGGGTACGTATCTAAGTGTCGGATCTTTTATTTTCTAAAATGTAGGATACGGGGACATGGTTAAAAAGAATTCAAATTTTGGACACGGGTACTTGGGTACGTCTTTCAAGCTTCAATTTTTTTTATTAACCCAAAATGTCATTTTGAATAGACCAAAATTAATAGTTCACAAAAAAGGAAATGAGTATTAAATAAGATGTTAAGACTAATAAAATACAATTTTTGGGGATTAGTTTTCAATTATAGGAAACGGGAAAGAAAAGGAAATGAAAAAAGAAGTAAAAAAGGGCGAAGTGTCCGGTTTAAATTTGAAGGATCCGACACATATCCCATACTCATACCCATACCCATGTCGTGTCGTGTCTGACACGGGTACTCCAACAATTTCTAAGAGTCCGAGCATCAAAGATTAAGCCTAGGGAAGGTTAGCGTTCAACCGTGAAAAGACTGAGATTAGACCAAGGGAGTGGAAAAATTGAGTGTTTAGGCAAATTTTACATAATTAAGGTTCCTGCAATACAGTGGAAAATATTGGCAAATGAGATTTAGGTCAGTACGGTGGGACTGAGGATAAAGGCTTGAGACAATTATACTGGCTATGTTGTGGAATGCTTTCACATAGTACTGCCTATTATTTTTATTTTTATTTTTGTGGCTTTCATTAATTGGAGGAAAGATTTAACACACTTCTATGAATAAAACCTAGCCAACTTTGTATAATAAGATAACAAATCAAGGCATAAGATGGATAGAATTGGGACCAAACAATTAAACTCCAAATTAGGCTTATGCAAAGAGGACTCATAAATAATTGTCTTGCATTTATTGCTTTTGTTATCTGTAGTCTGAGTTATAACCATTCAAGACCTTTCTTGACACGCCCTTGTTTGTCTCCCATTCTTTGAAAACTCATTTTTCTATCCTCATTTTTATGTACGCATCCACACAGTAAAATATTCTACATGTAAACCCAAAATTTTTCCCTACTTTTTAACCACACATTCTCCAAAAATTCACTATTCAAAACAATTATTTTCCAAAAATGGGGGCCACCAAACAGGGGGTAAATTTTTTAAGTTAAGCTTTAAGGTAAAACTGCTGTGCTTACTATCCCTATTCAATAAGGATGCTAATGAATTAGCTTTTTACTAGAGCTTGATGTCACGAGAGATTGTTTTAGTATAAATTGCAACTGCTTGTGGTCCAATACTGAAATTGGCTATATTGACATGTTTCTCTTTCTTTTGGCAGTTTGAGGATGTATAATTCACTGGTGGAAAGATGTTTCACTGATTGTGTAGACACCTTTCGACGCAAATCTCTAGACAAGCAAGAGGAGACTTGTGTGCGCCGCTGTGCTGAGAAGTTCCTGAAGCACTCAATGCGTGTTGGCATGAGATTTGCCGAGCTCAACCAAGGTGCTGCTACACCAGATTAAGAAAGCCTCTAATTGCATTGGCAATCATGTTTTGGCACATCTAATCGTGTTTTTATGATAGTAATTTCCAGTTATAAATTATGATTTATTGCAGAATTTGTGACGTGCTTTTATTCAATCAACAATGACTACGAGGTTCCTTTGGAGTTTTAAAGATTTTGTATTACTAGTTGGGTTAAATCCACCTATGGACACTCAACTTTATATTTAGTGTTACTATGGCCACTCAGTTTGAATTAGTTTAATTATGGCCATCCAAATTTATATCTAATGTCAACTTGGTCTCTCAATTTGATTTTATTTCATCGTGATTATACAATTTTATATAATGCCCTTGTTTGATCCCCATTTTTTTTTTTTTAGAAAATGAATTCTTCAACAGTATTTTGACATAATTTTAACCACACATTCTTTAATAAAATAATATTATACGCAAATTCAAAATTTTTCCTTATTTTTTAATCACACATTTCACATCAATACACTATTTAAAAATTCATTTTTCCCATTAAAATGGGGCTCAAACAAGGGCAATATTTCATCATGGTCACAGAATTTCATATAACTTTTTATTTTGGGCATCCAACTTGTTTTCACCATTTTCACTAATTTTAATAGGGGTAAAACGATAATTTTGCATTATATATGTAAAATAAATTTTAAAAATAAAATAAAATCTTATTTTAAAAAAAAAAGTTACATAAAAAACTAAAATAAAATAAAAAATTATTTAAAAATATTCCTTAAAAAATAAAATAAAAAGTTATTTTAAAAAATATTCCTTAAAAAATAAAATAAAATAAAAACTATCCTTTAAAAAATGTTGTTAAAATGAAATAAAAAACTTATTTAAAAATTTTTTTAGAATAAAAATTTTTTTTATTTTTATGCTTTTTTAATTTATTTTTTTATATATAATACAAAGTTACCACTTTACCCTTTTTTACAACGAGTGAAAATGATAAAAAGAAGTTTGGCGGTTATGGTGAAACTTTATATGAAATTTGGTAGTCATGGTAATATTAAGTATAAAGTAGGATCGCTATGATGAAGCAAAATCAAATTGGGTGGTTATAATGATACTAAATATAAAGTTGGATAGTCATTGGTGAATTTAACTTTTTACTAGATTCGGGAAAAGATTAGATGAAGTAATGATACTTCGTCTATTTAAATTATCTTTGGAAAATTAGTACAATACTTGATGCTATTCATTGACAAGTAAATTGCTAGGTAATAAGTAGATGTAACCACATATCTTGCGAATCAAAGACATTGCAAGGTTACTTGCAGGGTCGACCATGATATTTTGGGGCCTTATGCCAGCTTTAAATATGGGGTCCTATTAAAGAAAAATCATTGTATTTTTACTCGAGCCTTCTTATAGAGAGTTCTAATATAATCAAGAAAAATCTAATACGGATAACTAAACCCCAAAATTTGAAGATGAAAATAACGAAATGTAAAAGTTAACATGCAATACAAATTATAAGTGGAGTTTGGTATCTTAAATTATAATGCAATGGCAAAGGTGTTTGTTCATTTCTTTAATCATTTTCTCACTACAACTATTTAAAACAAAATTGAATGTGTATTTGTGTGATTTATGTAGAAAATCAAATAATGTTGACTGCAAGATATTGTATAACAAAATAATGAAAATGATGATAAAAGACAAATGAGCTCCTAATTTTATATTAATTCATACTAAATTAACTTAAAACTGAGAAGTATGAACACGGACAAAGAATTATTAAATTCAAAGTACCTTTAATAAGCATCTAAAAGGTTATTATCATGAGATTAAAGTAAAACAATAATAATAACAGTCTATAAACTTTGTAATATATGTTTTGAAGATAAAGGACAAATTGGAAAATTTGTAAGGCTACGTAGTTATACTAGACCAATCTATTACATTGAATTTTCAAAATTTTAAGTCCACGTGAGATAATTCACTTCTTGTTTGGTTGAAAAAAATTATGATAGGTTACTATTGGACTTGGAATTTGAAGAAACAAGAGACATTTTTGTTTGGTTAAGGAAAGAAAAAAGATGTTTGGATGATAAATAGTCAAATTATGTAGAGAGAGTAATGTTTGTGATATATTTATATGATAAATAAATGTAAGTGATAAGCTTTATACCATTTATATGTTTTTATGAAGACTTTTGTATTTCCAATTTTTATTAGTTTCTTGTGTTTGTATATTGATAATTCTATTTTAAAAAATTTCATAAATTTAATTTTTGTTTTTCGTCAAACAATTAGCCTAACATAATTTGGGGCCCTCGTCAAAATGGGGTCTTAGGCAATCGCCTATCTCGCCTATAATCATGGCCGCCACTAGTTACTCAATCGGGCTGAGTTGAAGTGAACTTTTTTTCTTATATGTGTTATTTTTCTATTTTGCTTTTCCTCCTTGTAATCGTCGATGAAAGTAGCTCATAAGGTAACTTTATGGGACCCTATAAAATGGGGGATAGATAGCGTGGAACTATATCAAGGCCAATTTGATTTTGTCGATCCTTTTGTGTCCAAGATTTAGGGGTGGCAGGTGGGCTACCTGCCTCGCTAGGTTTAGCTTTCTTTATGGTGATTACAATATCTTTCCTATGACATAAAATACACACTAACTTGGTCATAAGAGAGTCAAATTCTCAGTGAAAAATTCATCGGGAAGTAAAATGAAGCGAGAAAAGATATTCATTGAGAACTCCTCTTTACATTTTTGTCTTTATTATATCCCTATATTTTTCAAGAACTTATTTGGTCATATATGCATTTACCAATTTTCACCCCTCTATATTTTATGAATTTTAATTATATTCTTCATCATTCATTACAAGTTCAAGTATATCATAGAAAAATTAAATAAAATATTTGATAAATATTAGGGAAAAATTCATAAACCATGTATTAACTATGCATAATTCAAAAACCATGTTTAAAGTTTAACTAATGCAAAAATTAGGTTTTTATCTAATTAATTAAAAATATTTATTAATTAAATATAATAAAATCACAATTATACAATTAATGGTCACGTGTACACATTTATAGGTCATAAATTTATTCCTTGGTCACATATCTTCAAATTAATTGGCCACAAATTATTTTGAAGTCACGAATCAAAACTTTGATAGGTCACAGATTGTTTCGTGGTCACAGATTGTTTCGTGGTCACGGATCACAATTTATCCATCCATTTTATAGATCACAGTTTATATCATCGATCACAAATCTAAAAAATTATAGATCACGAGTCACAACTACAGGTCACAAATGGTTATAAATCCAAAATATTATAGGTCACAGGTCACGTATTTTTGAATTTGATGGCCACAAATTATTTTTTAATCATAAAATGATTGAATTGTTGGCCACGGACATCAAACACCGATCTCGATCGACCTCAGTACATGGTCACAAATACTCCACCACAAAACCCACCACCATTGCCATCTGAACCACACCATCGCCGCATAAACCAAGTTTGAACCACGCCATCGCCACCTAAACCAAATCACCAACAAAAATTGTCATCGTGTCCTTCGCCACATCACCACAACCTCCAACAAAATATCGACCAAGAAAGCCGACTATAAATGCCACTACCGCACCCACATCCACGTTGTATAAGTCCACCACCATACAAGACTTCGTCATCGCACAAGATACCATCTAAATCCATCGCCAACCAAACCCATCACCACCCAAGACACCACACGATCCACCATGCAACCAAGCAAACAACCAACAATCAAAACCAAAAAGACAAAAAAAATCAAGCAGAGCCGTGGGCAGCGGTGTTCACAGCACATCGTCGACGTTCACAGCAGCCATCACGGAACAGTACCGCCGTCGCTGCCTTGCAAACCATGAGCCACAGCAAATCGTCGAAGAAACACCACAAATCGGAGGATTTTAGATCAGAGCCTTCGTCGCAGGTCCGATCTCTTCATTACAGTAGCTACATGGTGGCCGACAACACTACGTCCTCACCTGAAGTGAAATGAGAGAGAGCCAGAAAGGGGGGACGAAATTAGGGCTTGTGGGTGGGGTAATTATAAGATTATTATTAATATTAAAATATATAATTAAAATCTAATTTAAGCTTAATTAAACTTTCTACCTAGTTTTTTAAAAGTGGTCTTTAAATGCCTGCTGCCGTGTAATTTCCACCAAATATTATTCTTTATGGAAAATCGTCCAAATACAAAAGCCTAAGCACACATTGCGCAACCAAGAACCCTAACCCCGAACACCCACACACACACGCACACGCACGCACGCTCACCCACTCACTATCTCCCCCCCCCCCCCCCCCCCCCCCCCCCCCCCCCCCCACACCAACCAAATAGGGGCCAAACGGGGACTAAATATAAGTTTAAGAGTGTTGCTACAGTGCCCTCAAGGTTGACATCTGGGTTGACACAACACACGCATGAGATGTGGCTTTTTTTTATTATAAGTACAAAAACTCGAAGAAAGCATTTAATGGAGTTTAATTATAAGTACAAAGACTCGAAGAAAGCGTTTAATGGAGATTCCTAACCGTTAATCCTGTATTTCGGAACATGTTTAAATTATGTGAAAAAAATGTTTCTTTTACCAAGCCAATTACATAGATTAAAAGCTTCAGTTGGCACCCAATATTGGACTTCTCTGATAACTGGAGCTAACTGGTTATATATAGTGGAAATTTTACTATTAGATCATCTCAAGCGTAAAAAATTAGTTAATGCTGAGGCAAGGAGTGACTTTTTAAGATGGAATTTTAAATCTTAATAGTGTGTGCAATGCTAGGGGAAAATATTGATGAGTATGTATATTTTTGTACTTCGGAACTAATACAGGTTGAAATCAAGCTGAGTATCATAGAGCAACAGAAGAGGCAAGTTGAGAAGCTGCTAAAGGTTTGTTACAAACTCATACTTGAAGGTCTTAAAAATCATATTTTTAAGTCAATTTAATGTAACAAAATGTTGATTTGAAGCAGACAATAGAGGAGGAAGAGGTTAGAATGCTAAGAAAGGAAATGATTCCAAGAGCTCAATTGATGCCGTTTTTTGATAGACCCTTCTGTCCACAAAGGTATCATATTTGTATTAACGAGCTAGGTGAACATGTAACTCACGGCTACATCTATTGTAAGATTAAAAATGATCTTATCTTCGACAACGACAATGGGCTTCCTTAGTGTATCCTTCCCACATCTAACTTTTTGCACGACACTCTTATGGACAAAAGTACAAAAACGAAGAGCA